TCCATGACTCAGTGAGCACATCCTTGAATTAGTTCCCACTTCACCAAAAACGTGGGCTTGCAAAAAGTCAGAGACAAGCTGGAGAAATCAAAAATTAAGAGAACACCAAAGAAATGGAGAAATAGGGAATTAAAATAGGCAGTGAGCCTGGGAGGGAGTTCTGGAGGTCTCTGTTCCAACCTCTTGTCAAAAACAGGATTATTGCCTACATTAGACCAGGTCAGTCATGGCTTTTTCTGTATTATTCAAAAAAAATACCAACAGTGAAGATACCACAGGCTCATGGGGTGACCTGCCGCAGTGCTGCACCACTGTCCCAACAGGAAAGTTGTCCTGTTGTCCTGCCTGAATGTCTTCTCCCTTTATAGCCACATATGCATATGTCCTGCATGTCTGATGAACCAGGCTTCCTCCTCTCCCTCTACCCTTGCAAAAGATGCACTGTATTTCCACACACAGGTAAGTAACTGCAAACGCAGCACGCAATACAATGCCTTCAGCTAGGCTCTCCAAATATCAGTTGGATCAGATGATCCAAATAGGCATCAGCCTTCTTACCAAGACTTTGACCAGGATGCTTGCTCTTTGACATATGCCACCCAGCCCCACCTTTGATTCACAAGGTGTTTGCACCCATCAGTTTGAGGACAGTCTGGTACTTGACAGGTGAGAAGACAATAACAGGTTTACAAGCTGCATCCTGTAAGGACTGTAGCCTTCAAGGCTAAACTTTGTATTCCAGACTGCTCAAACTGAAATCCCCGTTTCCAGCAGTGGTTGGTGTGGGGGGTGTGGAATTAACCATGCTGCAAATAAAGAAAGTTTAAAATCTTAAGCATATCTTAGACTAGAACATTCCCTTTCCCAAAATCTTCTTACCCAGAATCATTTCCTATTCAGTAATCTTGCTGCTTTGGAGCCAGGCAGCTGGCTTTCATGGTGGAAAAGACCTGTATTATCAGAAAAATACTGAAGAATGAGGAAGGATGAGGAAGGATGAGGAAGGGTGGAGATACTTGGGGCAGTTTTCATTGAAATGTACTGAACATCTGCAACTGTATTTAGACATTTTCTTGAAGCCAGGAGACTGACTTTTGCTGTTTAAGTTCACACAAAATCTTCTGTGTGGCACCAGTTTCCAGGATAACTGGGCCACAAGCATCAACGTTTCACATAGTCCCTTTCACTTCGCAAAGAGCGGACTTTCTACTGGAAACCCTACAGTTCCGGACCTATAATCCCTACTTTCCGTGACTCTGCTAATCCTCACTGTTGGTCCCCGAGTCACAGGGTAACCTACACTGCTCCACTCTTCTCCACGGAGGCTGCAAGCTTGCAAGGGAGGGAGAGAGTGGTCCCCCTTCCCATAGCAACCCCTACAAAGCCTTTGCACCGGTGTGAATACGAAGGCAAGATCTTTGCACAGAGGGCATTCATGCACTGTACCTCTAGATCAGAGGAAAATGTCAGCAGTCACCTAGCAATAACATGGCAAATATTTACCCAGACTTCTTAAGAAAAGGAAGGACAATGAGCCTGGGAATACAATGTGTGCAGAACACCAGTTGTCCCACGGCACAAATGTTCCCCGTGAAGCCCAGGGCTCCCAGTTACAAGAAAGGGAACTGTCTGTCAAGGCAGAGAAGTTATGAGAAAAGGATCATGTTAGTAACTATTATTTCCTTTGCCTCTTCCCTCCCACCCCCTTGTTGTATCTCAATTCAGCACAGGAATCTTGAGGCACATGGACGAGTCACATTCAGACAGAAACCTGTAACTGAGAAGATCGAGGGCTTTGTTTCAAACTCGCACAATCCTGCCACTGAGGTGAATGGGGTAACAGAACTGTAACACTCTAGAAATCATCTCTGGGTCTTTCATTACATCACTTCTGTAATTCTTGTTTGTGACATACCACTGAACAACCCTTTCTCTTTCTAAATTGGTGAAAGTGCAGGTTAGCTGTAGGCTAGAAAATACAGTGTGCAAATCACTTGTAGGTCTCCCTCATGAACAAATGTTTCCAGAGACCGCTGAAAATAGGCAATGTCTAGCAGCCTAAATGGCATATTTTCCTCTTTTTTTTCTCTTTAAATATAGCATAAGGAAATAAGTATTTTAACAGATAAATTTTTTGACTCCTAGGGAGAAAGGTGGAAGGTGAAAGCACGTAAAGCCATCACGTGATCAAAGCTTTCATACTGTTTAACATCATACACATTCAGTTGAGATCCACTTCCAGTACGATCAAAAAGCTACTTAAACTGGAAACAGGATCTGATTAAAATACATCGAGAATAAAACCTCTGATATCTTCTGAATGTGCATTTGAAAATCTGTATTTTGCAAAGAAAGATTCCAAGACATGACCACAAGCACAATTTTAAATTTTCAGTGGAAAAAAGGTTAAAAATAGCAACTCCTGCTCCATCTTACTGGGTGTATATTTGACTCTAGTCAAGCACAGCCTCAGTGCTGGATCCAGTAGGTCATCAGATACTGGAGCATACTAACTCATGAAGAGACTGAGTTAGCAATCCAAATACCAGCCCGTCTCCATCTATTTTGATCTGTCAAGACAGCCTGCAAAATTTCTTCATTTCTACGTTTGGGTTCAGGAGGAGTCAGCAGACCCTGGCAGGGTGCCCTTGACCTCTAATGGACGTTGGGCTGGTGGATATTCAGGGCATTCTTCAGGGATGTGGTAGACCCTAGACCTGTGTGAGCTAGGGCAAGCCACTTCACCCCACCCCCTTGTAAATCCAAAATTCCCTGTGAAATAGGGAAGAAAAGAGTGCAAAGAGGGTGCTTTGCTCCCTCCCAGAGCTGTCAGCTGCAGAACCGGTCACTTGTACGGACCTGTCATCAGAGTAGCCAGAACAAAACTACACACACACAAGCACACACTCTTAAAAAGTTTTTATTAATTTTCATTGTTTTTTTTTTTTTTAAAAAAAACAAACCCGTCAGTGCAACAGTTCAGTATCCCCTTCCTATCCCCCATCAGTAAGCAGTAATTTTAAAATCAGGAAATACCGAGTGCTGAAGCCAATGGGTTAGCATTTTGCTATTATTTCCTTCTGTCAAACTCTGAAAAAGTCCTCTGTATAAATTAAACAATGAAAAAAATGTTATTTTCAATTCTATGTCATTACAGTCAACAGAATCATAATAATGCATCTAAAATGTGTGTCCACAATACATCAGGTATACATTTTTGGGAAAAGAAAAAAAGGAAAAAAAAATATGACATTCTAGGCTTGTTAAAAGGATAATGGTCCCATATTTTTTATTAGCAGGTTAGCAAAACAAAATCCAATGGATTACAATATTTACATGTTATTTGAAAAATAAAGTAGTGATAAAAGCATGTCACAATCATTATTTTGTGGTTTTTTGTTTTTGTGGGTTTTTTTTTTTCTTTTTCATTTTTGGTAACCATTACAAACACCCAATCCAGGTATGGAACTGTTTAAATACATTTGAAATGAAGCCAATTAAAAAACAAATACAGACACAAAATGTGTATTTATACTTGTCCCTCCAATGCGTTTTTCCATGACATCCCCTCCCTACTTCAAAAAACAAAACAAGAAAAATCCCTAACAAAAAAAAAAAATCAAAAGAATCCCTCTAAGACACAACAACTGATGAATCCCCAAAAGCAAAACACCATGCTTCTCAAGTAGCACTTATTCCACAAATGCAACATTTTTGCCAACAATTTTATGTGAAGCTCTCTAGGACACCGTTTCCTCAGCAGCTTCCTATTTTCCCCCCCCCCCCCCCCGCCAATCCCCCCCAAAAAACAAAAAAAACAAACAAAGACACATGCATTTCTAAAACTAGGTTTCAGTCAAGTACTTTCTACTTTTTGGAAAGAAACTTTTTTTTGTTCACAATCAGAACATACCACGGGCACCAGATCCTGTGTTCATTGCTCAGGCAAAATTCCCATTGAGTTTGGTCGGCTTTCCACCCCAGAAGTAGTGCAGGATCAGCCACTTGGGTATGCAGGTTCCTACTCTTTCTATGCTGCTCCCCTCATGCCAAAAGCTAAGGAGGAGGGGAAAAACTTAGCAACTCCATCTTGAATCGAGTAAAAGTAGTTCTCCAGGCTCAATGTCATATGTAACTATTTCACCTCCGCTTGCAAAAAGATGTGTTAACAGACACCCCTCCCTCCCACCTCACCAAAACAAAAAGAAAACACGCACGCCACAGACAGAAGAAAAAAAGGCAGCCAATCTTAATGAAAAGTTACTGGTGTGAGACTGATAGATGTTAATATGACAAGCAACAGAATGGTTATGAGGACCTATGTGTTTGGCCCGCGAGCTGCATAGCTGTGCCGTAAGTTTGGTTCTTTAGTTTTTTTTTAAAAAAAGTTAAAACTTCTTTGTTATTTCCATATGTTTAAAATTAACAACAACAACAACAACAACAGAAAGATCTATTCACAAGATCTAGTCTCCTTTCCCTGTCCCCCCCTCAAAAAGAAATACTCATTTTACATGAGAAACTTAATTGTGCTGTATTTGTAACACCTCAGGCTGACAGAAAATTAACATGTGGCAAACAAAACTGCACAATCAGTCACATGAAATCTATCAAATCCTAAAATTATAACTGAATACTAACAAACAGCTTACCTGGAATAAAGGATGACAATTCACAAAGAGTTATCTAGGAATTAAAGTATCTCTCTCTTTTTTTGTTTTTTTTTTTACTAAAATAATTAAAAAAATCACAGTATTTTAAGAAATAAAACCCACACTGGGATTTTAAGCACAATTTGTTTTCCTTTCTTTAAAACTTTTTTCTTCCTCCATTTACCACCTTGCCCAGCAGTCTCTCTACATTTAACCACAACGACAACAGGTAGTACTGACAAATGCAGAGATCTCCCTTGGTTAATTCTGAGGTACTAGGAAACAGGTGACTGTTTTAAGCAAAGCAGTTTCTGTTTTTTTTTTTTTTTTTTTTTTTTTTTTTCTGTTTTTTTTTCTTTTCTAAAGCAGTTGCATTCAGTCTGGAAAAGCGTTATGTATTAAAACTAGAAAAACGCACCCAAATTTGTGCGTTGAAAAGTTGTCCCCCCCACACTTCTTCCATGCTCACGATGCTTCCATTCACAAACAATCCAAGTCTCCACTGCAAAGCACGATGTGTAATGTAGGAATACGGGGAGTTGCTTCATTAGTCCAAGATGAATGTAACTTCCCATTGTCAAGATCCAGAAGAAAAGATGAAGTGATGTAATGGAGCCACTTACTCCATCACTTAAATAACGTTAATATACACACACTCACACAGGTACCAGTGCTTTGAAAATAGATCATTCAGTCCTAAAAGCAGCTTTATTTCTTCCTTCTGCCCACCCCGCCCACCCACCCCACCCCGTTCATCACGTTCAAGTACGTTGATTAGAATCACACCAAATGCTTATTCATTTTTGGCCTCCGAGTTGTCTTGGAGAGATTTGTCAGCAGCTACCACGCTGACTGCTGTTTCACTGTTGTGGGAATAGTCCACCATCATTTTCTCAATGCCTTCTTTTTCTTCGGGCGGTGTGCTAACGGTTTCTTCTATGTCCTCCTTTGGCTGGCTGTCCTCACTGGTCCTGTGCTTGCTTTCATTCAGTGCCCTGGAAAGCGAACCAGCAGAAAACAGAAACACAGTCGATACAGTGAACAGCAAAGCCAGTCTGTGTGTATCACATGGGGGAGAAAAACAGATCACTTTCTAAAAAGGTAGATGCAAGAAGCCACGCCACTGCCACCTCATGCTCAAGAGGAGAGGCAGTAGAATGAAGCACCAGTGGGACCCATGACATTCTAGCTTTGAAACCAAATTTTTATTTGCTCTACACTGGGACAGATATGAGATGAGAGGGAAGAACCCCAATTCTAGCTTTTAAAAGTTTACTCTCCTTTCCCCAGTCCCTTGTAAACAAGACTTACAAGGCACCAAACAAAGGCACAGGAAAAGAGTAATTTTCCCAAGGAGTTAATGATCCAATAAAACTTCTTATAGTTTTCAACATTTCAAGTAGTCGTATTTAGCTAGACAAGATTAAGGGTAAGAGAAGTAATATTTCTCATCCCATCATAGTTAACCTACAATATTGTATTCAAATGTCTTCCACATGTCAGCAACCCTGAATGAAATTTACTCTTTGAAGAAACTTTGGTCAGCAAAGATATCTCTGCTACTGACGAGATCTTCATTAAAAGAAGGAACATGATTGTTCCAGAGATGCCGATCTTATCTGTGATGTACATCATCCCACAGTGTGCAAACTGCTATAATAAGACAAAGATTTCACTACGAAGATGAACTAGCGAACTTTTCAGATTGATTTTATTTCCCATGAAGGTCTTGACATTTATCTGCATGTAATCCATTTGCGCTGCTATGCAATTTTAGCTGCAAGCATGAGAAAGGGATATAACAACAAAGGGGAAAAAACCCCAAGTTCCTTCCTAGAACATTCTGTATAATTTTCTGCCATTTTTAAGTGCTTAGCTGGCAGGCAAAATCAACAATACACTCAGGTAAAGTTAATCCTGGGCCAAATGGTATTCACCTTGGGACAATCATAAGTTTTAGAATCACAGTTAAACCCTACAGTCTACAGCCACCCTGGGCAGCAGAGTTAAAAAGGATTAACAGGAACTTCCCATGCAGAGACGTCTGATGACTGTAGCCACACTTGTGATAGACAGAACTGTTCTTCACAGAACTGTGTTTGCCTTCATCACAGGGCTTTCTGCGAGGCAAGGAATGTGGTGGGAGAATGCACAGAGATCTACTGTAACCTTTGGCTGTTTGGCAAAGGAGTGTAAACCAACTTACATGCCATGTCTCAGCACGTGTCGCTCCCACTCAGAGCCTTCTGTAAAGGACCGGCCACAGAACTCACATGGGAAGCGTTTCTCTGGAACACCGCTGTCAGGAAACATCATGGGATCTGGAAAAAGACAGCACAGTCAGTGGAAGTGTCAGGGTAAAAAGGGACCACTGTGATCCTACTCTGATCCCCTCTGTGGCACCGTCTCATCCCTAAGAAGCAACAGGACTTACCTATCAAATAATTATGTTTGTGAAAATGCCACTCCCCCAAACCAAAGTGACACTGCAAGCAACAAATCCCATCCTAAGTCTTAAAGTATCTTTGCAAATAAGGGTTACAAGTTAGTACTCCCTGTTCCTGTATTTCAACAAATGCAGAGACTGTGGAGTTTTAATTCAAAACCAAAAATGAGAAGTTTAGGGCTGAAATGGCTTGAAAGCAAAATAAAAATAATTTACTAAAGCCCATTTATACATTTTGAATTGGTAGTACAATTTTTAGGAAACAAACACTTGGTATATTTAACATGTGATCCTCATAATAAATAGATACCCCTTCATCATGAAGTCTCACGGGTCAAGTCCTGCTTCTTAACTGCATAGGTGTTTCATCACATCCTAATCTTTTACACAAAGTGCTTGGGGCCTCATTTTCAGAAGTGTCAAGCACCTAGTAATACAAGTGAAGTCACTGGCAGCTCAGGGAGCAGTATTTCTGAAAGTCAAGCTCCATGTGAACACAGCCAGCTTTAACAAAAGATGAAATATTTTCTCACAAATTAAGAAGATCACCACACAAGCCATTAAAAATAATTGCATGGACTATCTCACTTGATTCTTTTGCTGGAAATGAGACAGCACCATCTGCTCAGGGCATTAATTCCTTAGCAGGGATTATCTTAAGCAAGAAATCAACTGAATGTCTTTCTGACTCCTCCCAAACTACATAATAAAAGAAAAGGGATTTTACTTCATTTTGGTTCTGATCTCTGCTCACTTAATTTTTTCACTCTTAGATTGACTCTGTTCACCATCAGCCTATGAATGTAAAATTGCCCACACATTCCCTATTATCCATATTTAAGTCCTGTAAATGTATTTTTGTGACACATTTCTCACTAGTTAGCCTTTACTAAAAAGGTCTATATGGAAGGGTTCTCAACATCATCTGTTACCTCTTTCTCCTGAAAGAAAAAGCCTCATTTTATATTTCTTACTGTCAGTGATTTATTATGTGGTTAAATATCACAAAGCAAGGTGCTGCGTCAAGACGAACACCAGAAAGTAAATCAATGCTATTAGTTCAGTTTACATCTGGATTCTAATACCTTATGTGTGGTACAAATTTATAAACACACCACAACACACAAACTAATCACGGTACAGGGACAAGTATTTATTGAGGATAGCGGTTTTGGAGTCCAATGCTGCTGTTCTGTACAAGAACATACCTACCACAGAGCACACAATAGGAAGTTTATTCTGGGCCTCTGCAGAGAGGACATATGCAACAGAGAGGCTGTTTTGCTCAAACAGGAGGCATTTGGATTGTTCAGCCTGGAGAAGCAAAGGCTCCAGGAAGACCTTATTGTGGCCTTTCATTAATTAAAGGGGGCTTATGAGAAGGATGGAGAAAGGCTTTTCACCAAAGCCTATAGTGACAGGACAAGGGGTAATGGGTTTAAACCGAAAGAAGGTAGGTTTAGATTGGACATAAGCCAGAATTTTTTTTATATAAGGGTGCTGAGACACTGGAACAGCTTGCCAAGAGACGGTGTGGATGCCCCATCATTAGCAGTGTTCAAGACTAGGTTGGATGGGGCTTTGAGCAACCTGACCTAGTGAAAGATGTCTCTGCCCATGGGAGGGGGTTTGGAACTAGATGATATTTAAAGGTCCCTTCCAACCCAAACCAGTCTATGATTTATACTTGCAACCCCCATTAAGATTAGCAAGTGCTACTCTAGTAAATCCATCTCCTTTTCAGAAAACACGATCTTGTTCACCCCACTTGCAGGTCAGCAGTGCTTCTAGGGCTGTGAATTTGGACTGCTTCCCTGAAGGAGTATCAGAACCTGCTCTTCTCTGGGGCCTGCAGAAGAGAGGTGACAGACTGCAGAGACACCTGACCTCTCTGCAGTTTACCTGCATTACACTTACAAGTACTCACGGATATTTATTTTTTGTCTTCTGTGGAAAAATACCTCTTAATTCCAGTTTCTGTTAAGACCAAGACATAATGGACAGTAGAGACAGACAGTCCCTCCGGGACACAGTCCCTACCAGGGGCAACTGTTCCTTCCATGGTATATGCTAGACAACCTCTTTCCGTCCCTGCTTCTTCCTCCCAGGTCAATTTATGGCACCAGCCCTTCTTTTGTCCATTTTTCCAACAGCCTATGTGGAGAAGCAACACACTATCCTTTGCACCTTCAGTACTGCACATACCAGCCTGAAGTCAAAGTGGCAAATCTAGGCAGCTGTTTGACTGATGGGAAGAAATCCTGGTTCTGCCAAAGTCACAGACTTCAGAGGGTTCAGACAGCATTTGCCTCCAGACGCGTGGAGCACACAGAAACACTGTCAGCAAACCCCACTTCCTGCTAACACCACAAAGGCTAGAATTGTCAAAAGCACCCGAATGGCATACAGGATTACACAGTTTGATGTGGTTTGAAAGCTTGACAGCATTGGTCACTGTGACATGCTATATTTAAAACCACCGGTCTGGTCCTCTGCTAACAGGGCAAACCATTTCTGTGTTAGAACTATCTTCTGAAAATCCATACGGCAGTGTCACCACGCAACTCAGCATCCAACCATGCCTTCAGTTCCTGTCTCACCTGGACACTTCTCGAAAGTGCACCCTGCATCTTCCACCTTACAGAGGCAATCCACAACTTCTCTAGAAAAATATAGTCAATACAACTGGGTCTTTTCTAAATACTGTTGCTGTAGCAGGCATTAAGGGTTTTCTGCATTTTCTATTTATTTTAGTATAATATATTACAAATGGTAACAGACTAAAAAGGAAGAAAACAGTGATGAAACATTGACACTACAGGACAGTCAGGAAAGCACAGCTGCAAAAAAAACTTTGAAGTATGCATGATGTTTTTAGACTCGTCATCTGAACAGCCATGCAGAAATCACTTTAGTCAGTCACAGATTAAAACACACAGATACAGGTGAAAACAGTACAAAATAAAAATTACAATTACTAAGATTACTATTGCATGCTTAACTACTGATCACATGAAACACTTCTCTATTATCCCTGCAAATTTAAATCTCCAGCATAGAAGGTGATATTTCCACATTTTCACAGTGTAACCTAAAGCCAACTTAAAAAATGAACTTCACCTTGAGCTGTTCCCCTCCCCATGGTGCATTTACAGGGATTTGTAAGGCCTGGCAGATAGCACCTTCTTCTCCTTGGTCTAGATACTATGGCTTCCAAGGTCACTTCAGCACCTGTGCTTGTCTGTAACGCTAAGGTAATCCTCACAAGGACAGCATGACTCTTCATCCCCTGCTAGCTGTGGGTCTATACAAAACATTAATCAGCCTGCTACATCTGCAACTAAGGTGAGCTAGTCCTTTAGTCAAATCATTACACCAATCATGTTCCAGCCCTGCAGCTCTGAGGGTCAAAGCTGTCCCCAAAGAGGCACTCAAGTACGTTTCCACACAAGTTACTAATGTTGAAGTTCATAATGCAGACGGAACATCCCTTTAGGTCCTCCTCTGATTTTTCTACTGTTCTACCCAAGATCTTGTGAAGGACATTTTTCATTAAAACATAAAAGGTTTCCTATCCAACTTGCTTACTTTCTCATTTAAATAAAAGCTATCACTAACCACGCTTGAAATGAAGTGCTAATGATAAGCATAGACCAGATTTATGCTGCAGGGACACTAAATAAAAGCCAAGATGCTAGAGTCTTGCTATTAAAAGATAAGCAGCGTGATGTGAGCCCCTCCTGTTCTGTAAACAACCTGTGAAACCAGAGACTGGAATTTTTCAAGGTCTGAAAAGATGTAGGAAGACACATTTTCTTTTGTGAACAACTTCTGAGTGAGTTTAGACAGCTGAAAATTCAGAAGCAAAAAGGTAAACATGGTGGTGTACCTTTAGTTAAAGTACACAGAACTGGGCTAACTGCGCTTGTCGGCATCAGGAGAGTGGATGACCCCAGGAACCTGATATTCAGACATCACAGGGCTAAAGATGTTAAAGAGCTGCAAACATACTGCATTTGACTGATGAACTGTGCACCAGAGCAGACTAGACAACATACAGTTTATACTAGATAAGTGCAATATCCTGGTTTTCACGAGGGAAGGCTGTTGGAAGAGAAGGACAAGAAATCCTTAGTTCTATTTACAGAGAACTTGGTTTTTCCCTGCTGATCTAACTTTGACCAAATCAAAAGCATTAGCAAGCACATGGCTCAACCTTGCCGTCAGTGGGATTAATCTTAGATACCAACATAGGCACATATTTAAATACACAATGGTACAGGTAGGGCATGGACCTACCCTGGCTCCAGAGCTGCCAACTGCAGCAGCTGCAACAGGACTGACTCTCTCTAACAAGGAATGCTTATGACAGAGTTCATAACAGCCCATAAAAAAGTTTGGTCAAGACCCCTTCATCCCTTGCTTGAGCAATGCCGACTGAAAAGCCAAAAATTGAAAATCTGGCAGACCACTAAAATATTGCACTTACATAGTTATCCAGCCCCTTATAGATGTTATCTGCACGGGCAGATGAGTCATAGATGTTATCTGTGTTTTCTCATAGTACATATTTTCTTAACAGACAGAAAACTTCTAATAAGGATTAGAAACACAAGATTCCCCCTGGAGCAGTGCCTTCACAAGCCCCATTCTGTTCCTGCTGGCATGCCTGCATGGCTCTACAGGAATGTGCTGTACAGTCAACAGCTGACCTTGCTTGGTGGGACCAGTGGGGCACGTTGCAGTGTGAAGAAAAAAAAAAAAGAGCTGCACTGACCTCTCTCTTCAGTCTTGGGGCTTAACTCTTCTTCTTTTTCTTCTTCGTCACTGCTGGAGCTCTCCGTTTTCCCCTTCATTTGTTCCAGCTGGTCCAAGTTAACCCGTCCAACCAGCTCAAAATTACGACTCACCTTTGAAAGAAACACTTTATGTCAGCAATTAGTACAATCATCAGCTAATCAGAAAAATCACCACATATACAAAACAAAATTGACTACAAGCCAAAGTCTACTCAGCTTCAGGTGGCATGCAGTCACCTAATCAAGACAGTGATTCTTCTTTTGCTGTTTATTCTGCATTTCTCATTTCTGGTTTCCAAAAATCAAAGACATTCAGAAAACCTCCCTCATTTCTTCCTGGTTTTGATGTATTAAAACAAACAAAAAAACATCCAAGAAATGCGAAACACTGTAAGTTGTACCCTCTTTTTATGGGACTATTCAGCCGCTGTAATCAAACGCTGGTATTGCACATCCACACTGAAGCAAAATTCCTTCTGACTGGTTCATTCAGCTTCATGCATGAAAGGATGGGTCCTTTACTAAGCACATGGCTGCTGTGTGCCACATACACTTTCACTCATTAATAACAGATTAATTTTCATCACGAAGGACTGCAAAGTGCTTTTCAAACTGATACACAGGCTATAATGAGAACACTTCACCCAGCAGTCAAATTCAGCTAACCCTAGGGTGAAATGCACCAGCTACTTAACAGTTCACAGCAGCAGTATGAAAGGAGCTGCTTAGGGCATGGAAGTCAGGAACTCCACCACATCCAACA